GTGACTCAAAAAAACAATTTACCAGCTGGTCCTTGTCTATCAGTGAACTTGAAAGGCAAACCAGAGAAAGCAGCGTGAACATGAGGAACAAGCCTTTGGTGGTGCTGCAAACAGTCACTGAGGTTTAAGAGTTGAATTGAAGGTTTACAAAACTGCAGCTGAACATCTTCATTATCCAGTGGAGATATCATTTTAAATTTGAAAAAGTACAACTTTAAGGATTCACAAAAAATCAAAACTGAAACAACTGAATTTGAAACATTTTTAATTTCTATATAAGAAAATGTGAAGTCTGTATAAACCATGTTATAGTGAGTTACTTACCTGTGATGTCAAAAGAAGCTGATGAATGAAGAATATGGCTCATCACAAAATTCTTTTATACATTCTTGCGATTACACCTCCCATTTTGCGCAACACACTGTGTGTGTGTGTGTGTGTGTGTGTGTTGTGTGTGCTCGCGTGCATGTGTGGTTGGGGGTGCTGCATTGTGGTCTGCATGCTGAAGCAATAGCACTTAGCTTCCTGTCCATAAAGCTTTAAAAGCACATTTGTCCCTATCAACAGCAGAATTTTACTGTTAAAGTGACATTCAGGAACAACAAGGGTCAAAATGACTAGTTGTTGTTCTTTGCCTGAAATGTTCTTGGGAAATGTAATGTGAATCTGAACGTAGCCCACGTTTGGCACATTTTGCCCACCAGCTCCTTCAATTTCAAGAAGGGCATGTATCGATGGGATGGGAAAGTGGGAAAGGTGCATTTTGTGAAAAGACTCAGAAATGGTTGTAACTTGTGAGCCTGAGTCCATTATGGATTTGCAGGGCATCCCATCAACAAGTACTTGATCTTATGAGACCTAGAGGCAAGGGGGGGTTGAGATTTAGGCTGTCTATGCAGTGAATGGGTATGTGATTTGCATTTCAGGATCACAACTTAATGTCTTGGGAGCGAGGGAATCTGGTTTCAGCTCCTGGGTGTCCCATGACAGGAGCTGCCATTAGTTTAAATAAAACACGATTGTGGCCTGTTGTGCAAAAAAAATCAGACTGTTTCTTTTTCAGCTCTACATTCTTTACTTGGACAAGTGTGGGATTAGCAGCTCACTGCAATATGATTGTCTTCCTACACTTAAAGCAAAACCATGCCCTGAGTGTGCCAGGGCGTTTAGTAGCAGCCCTTGGGTGCCTGGTGTTAACAGCTAAAGAATTTTTGGGGTGCATGTTTCTCATGTTTGGTTGAATGTGTTCGGTGTTGGATGAGCATTTGGACTTGTTTGGTCAACTCAGCTATTTGACTTTCAAGCTCGGCAGTTTCATTTAGTTTTAGCTTCACTTGGGTTCAGTACTTACAGGAGGTTCAGTACTTGGGGTGGTCCTCCTTGGCCTATGAGTTAACTGTTCAACTTCCTTTGAGAACTTTTGTTCGAGTTTCACTGTCAGCTGAAGTAGGAGTCGCAAATGGTACTTGGTCAAAAGTGCACATACTAAAAACTGAGTGTGGATGCGCAGAAGCCTTTGTTGCACCTAAATGTTTTTGCATGCGGTCTAACTTGGCTGAACACTGATCTTCCTCAGTTCTTAACATGAGAAGAGGCTCTGGAAATAAGGGTGGAAGAAATCTTTTTTTGCTTTGAGCTGGAGACTTATTATCATGCTTTGGTCCCAGAACCCTCTAATGAATTGCTTAAGAAGCAGTAGGCAGTAAAAAGTTCTTCACTGTCCTCAACATTTCCAAAGTCTCAATCAAGCTGAGTGACATGAGCACTTGGTGATGCAGTGACCCCTACAGGCTCTCAAGTATCTTTCTCACTTGAGGGCATCCATCACAAAAGGGTCACTGAGTACAAGATGAACTTGGGTGTGGCAAGTCTCATAATCGACTTTACCACACACACAGTATCATCCCTTTAAGTGTCCATAAATGCACCAGGTACGCTGTCCATTTCAGTTGAGTGCACTTAATATTTACTATTTGGTAAGTATTTCAACATTATTTGGATTGTCTTTGGTTCACGGTTCTTTCCTCTAGTGCATCAGTTTTTTGTTAAGCGGTGTCAGGCCTGACCCAAAAGAAAGGTAGCAACATAAAGTGTCCTTAGATTCCAAGAAAGAAACATACATCCCTTAAAAAAAGTAAATAAAATAAAATACATGAATGAAAAAATAAATAATTGGAAATCGTTGTCTCCCACCAAGCACCAAAGAAGCAGCTGGCCTTCGGACTGAGCGTCCTTTGTGGACATCACAATTGGCATCCAGTCCTTAGATGGCACCACTCAGTCCTTAGCAGCAGATTTCTACCACATAGAAAAACCAGCCAGGATATTCTTCACAGAATACATGAACTCTGTGCCTCAACAGGACGGAAACTTCTACGACAGCTTGTTGCTTGGTGCAGACAGAGGCGCCTGAGCTTGGACTTCCTGTCAGCAGCGTTATGGTGCATTCATAGTACATGGGTAAACTCAATACTCAAAAAAGTAACACTTAAAATAAAATTTAAATAAAATACAATTGGCCATAAAATAACCCTGGGCTACACAAATACATGAAATCTATGGAAAGAGTTAATATAGGAAACTAGAAAAACTAGGAAAGTAGACATGTAAAAATGGATGGAGCATGATGGTGCAAGGTGTCTCTGCCAGATGTGGTTAACCCAATTCAATGCAAAAATATGAATGCTGCACCGTACAAATAAATGAATAAATGATCAAAACATTCACAATTCAATTCAATTCAATTTTATTTACAGTGGGAAGGAAAAACTCCCTTTTAACAGGAAGAAACCTCCGGCAGAACCAGGCTCAGGGAGGGG